GACTGTGGGCCCCAGGGCTAGATTTCAGCCCTGCACTGCCCTGCTCAGTTTGACTGCCCTCTAGGGTGTTTGTCCTGTCTGTACCCCAGATGTAAGCTGAGAGAGATGGTTTCTTTGGGTCCTTCCCATCCTCTTACTGAGAGCCTAGTGTTCTGGGGTTGAAGTTGGACAGGGGCCTGCTTCAGGGAGGCTTAGGTCCCATGCACTCTGGGGCCACTTGTGGCGTTCCCTGCCCTGGCACCCAGCCACCTGTTGTGTTGGGCTTTGGGGCTAGAGGGTGTCATCAAGGTACTAACGTGCAGTGTATCTGGAACTTGAATTTGTGGCTGTTTTTTCAGTTTTAATTGATCCATGACTTGTCTCCATCTCTGCTATCACCTCCACACTGACCACTGGGCAACAACTGTCATCCAGCCTGTTTTCCCCACCCTCTTTGCTAGGCAGCCCCACTGGCGTCACTAGCCAGTCTTTGCTCCTCAGTATGGGCCATCTTAGGGAGGCCAGAGATCTTACAGCGGGCTGGCCAGGGACAGCAGGGGGCCCTGCAGAGCTGGAGATTGGGGCGTCTCTGGGGGGGTTCCTTCCCCCAGAGGGCCTCCCTGGCCACTGCCCGCCGGTGCCCCAGGAGCCCGCGTGCAGGGCTCTGGGCATGGGTCCCCCTCCTCCCGGCACCCCGCCCGGGTCCCTGGCGCCGCACACACGGTTCAGCGTACAGTGTGCGGCTTCCATCTTTACTGACGGAGTATGCGCAAGCCGTGCCGGCCAATCCCCGGCGCCTGCGTCATCGGCGCGCGCCCGGCCTCAGCCGCGGATCTCGTAGGCGACAGGCGGCGGGACGCGGAGCCCGGGCGCCGCCCCCTCTCCTGGGCCGCGATCCGTGGGCGCCTCCGCCGGCCCCTCAGCGAAGAGTGGCTTGGAGCGGTCGATGACGAACATCTCGTGGCCGCGCTCGTCGCGGAGCTCCTCGAGCTGCGCAAAGGTGCACGGCCCATCTGAGTAGTCGTTGACAAACAGCGCGCCCTCAGCGGAAGGCCCCCGCGTCTTTTTCCGCCTGCGGCGCCGGCGGCAGATCATGGCGGCCAGCAGCAGTGCGGTGAGCGCCAGCAGCGCGATGGCCGCCGCGACGGCCGTCTGCGTGGCCAGGCCCAGGGCGCGGAAGGCCATGCTGCCCGCCTCGTGCCTAGGCTCGCGGGCGGCGGGGGACGGCGGAGTCGCCGGCTGCTGCGGCTGCTGCCGCGACACATTGACCAGGAGTCGGAAGGGAACGCGGGCGGCGCCGCCGGCGTTGGAGGCCTCGCACTCGTACTTGCCGGCGTGCGCCAGCGTGATGTTGGTGAGGAAGAGCATGCCGCTGCCCATGTCTGAGGCCGCGTGCCCGCCCATGCCGGGCGCACCGTTTTCTAGTAGAGTTTGGTCCTGTGGCCAGCCCTTGCGAGGCTGGGACACCTTTCTCCAGGTCACCAGGGGCTGCGGGTAGCCGGAGGCCTGACAGGCAACCCTCAGGTCCTCACCCAGGTTGGCTGTGAGCTCCAGCGGCTGCACGTGTACAGAAGGTGGAATACAGATGAGGCTACTGCGGGATATGTCCAGGAGACTCTGAAGTGCCAGGCGGGGGGGCTCTGCACACATGATCTTCTTGTCCCTGGAGCTGAGCAGCCTTTGGCCACCCTGCTTGATCCATGTGCCCAGCCAGTGCAGGGCGCAGTCACAGCGCCATGGGTTCTCTGTGGGAGAGTGGGAGGCAACAGGTGGCTTGGGGTTGGCCCCAAAACAGCCTGTGCCGTTGAGGTTCTGCTGGCCAGGGCATGAGCCCTTGGCCACCTCCCATAGCCTCTTCACACGAGTCTAGGATCCCTGCCACCCCATATCTGACTCCAAGCTCTTTGGGGTGGAGGTAGGCCCTTCACACCTGATGATCTCACAGGTCACTTTTTCCACTGGTCTTTGAGAAAGCACCTGCTCCTCTGACGTCTCCCCAAACAAGTTCCACTGTTTGGGGCACCTCTATGTCCACACAGACACCTCACCAGCACTAAAACCATGGAAATATAAGCCTTGTCTGCAGGTGCCCTCTCCTGGAAATGCCCCCAATCCTGGTCAGCTGTCTATTCGTTCTAGTTTTTGTCTGCCTGCCCTCTGATGGCTCCAGATTGTGCAAAACTGTCAATTGTGTTAAGTCAACATGGGGAACTCCTATCTTTTCTGTTTTCCTTAGGCAGAGTGCCTGAGCTGTACCCCCACCAGCACCCCATTCCCAGCGGCCTTCCACCATGGCTGCAGGTAGTTGTGTGGCCTTCCAGCATGTTCCCAATTGCTGGAAGTTAGAGGCCCCTCCACATGTGGGCCTGCTCCCTACTGCCACCTCTGTGGCCAAGGCAGAGACCCTTGCCGGAGGAGGAGGTACCTGTGAGGCGCAGAACTTGCAGGCTGGCCAGGGGCTGCAAGGCCTCTTGGCTGATGGTGCCCAGCTGGTTCCTACTGAGGTCCAGCAGTGCCAGGGATGACAGCCCAGCCAGAGCCTGGTCCTCCAGCAGCTCAATGTTGTTTTCTTGCAGGTGCAGCTCCTGCAGTCGCTGAAGTAGGGACAGCAGATCGTAAGGAAAAAGTGCGCTGAGAGGGGCAGGTCTCCCTTACCAAGCCTGACTAGGATGACTCTGCTCTCCCTAATTACTCCAGCCGGACAAAGCTAGTGATGGCACAGGAGGACCCCACCCTTTTTGTCCTCTGGTGCTCACCAGAAGGTGCGAGAACGTGAAATCCAGTAGCCGGGCCAGCTGGTTGCCTGCCAGGTAGAGTACACGCAGCTGGGCCAGGCCCACGAAGGCGCCGCCACGCAAGCCGCGCAGCCGGTTTCCGGTGAGCGCCAGCTCGAGCAGACGTGGCTGTGCCCTGAAAGCGCCGGACTCCAGGGCGCGCAGGCTGTTGTTGTGCAGGTAGAGACGACGCAGAGCAGTAAGCGGAGCCAGGGCGCCAGGCTCCAGGCGGGAGATGTTGTTGTCCTGCAGGAACAGCGTCTGCGGGCAGAGGCATGTGGGGTACTTATCCCGCCGCCCGGTCTCCCTTTCCCCTAGGGCTCCTCCCATTTACCCACCAGGACGCTCACACAGCCCTCCCGCAGTTTGGTGCCCACCTGCGTCCCGGGCGGGATTCCCGGTGGGACGATGGGCAGCCGCAAGGCGCCGCACTCCACCGTGGCGCTGTAGCAGCGACAAACGGCCGGGCAGGTGGCGGCGCGGGGCGGAAACCAGAGCAGCAGAGGCGGCAGTAGCAGCAGCAGCAACGCAGGAGTCCTCGGGGCCATGTCCCAAGAGACCAGCCTCCCCAAGGTCTCGCCCAGATAGGATGCACCTCCTGAAACACAGGCTGGCAGGCCAGACCTAACATGCGAGAACCAGCACAGGAGCACGAACTGTGGTCCACACCTTCTGTTTGACTTTTAAAAAGTTATGTCTGCTCAAGAAACTGGTAAATAAAAAGTTCTAGTTTCCTGCCTTGACAAAACACCTTCATAGGCTGGTCTCGGTGGCTCATGCCTGTAATCCTAGCACTCTGGGAGGCCGAGGTGGCGGATTGCTCGGGGCCAGGAGTTCGAAACCAGCCTGAGCAAGAGCGAGACCCGGTCTCTACTATAAATAGAAAGAAATTAATTGGCCAACTAATATATATATATAAAATTAAGCCGGGCGCGGTGGCTCACGCCTGTAATCCTAGCTCTCTGGGAGGCTGAGACGGGCGGATTGCTCAAGGTCAGGAGCTCAAAACCAGCCTGAGCAAGAGCGAGACCTTGTTTCTACTATAAATAGAAAGAAATTAATTGGCCAACTAATATATATAGAAAAAATTAGCTGGGCATGGTGTACATGCCTGTAGTCCCAGCTACTCGGGAGGCTGAGGCAGCAGGATTGCTTGAGCCCAGGAGTTTGAGGTTGCTGTGAGCTAGGCTGATGCCATGGCACTCACTCTAGCCTGGACAACAAAAGCAAGACTCTGTCAAAAAAAACAAAACAAAACAAAAAACAACCCACCTTCATAAAGACCTGGGCATCACAGGATTAGTGAGCTATAATTGCATCACTGCATTCCACCTACATTCCAGCATGGGCTACAAGGGGAAGAGCAAGATCTGGACAGACATGTTCCCTTGTCCTTACTCTGTGGGTACTGGCATAAGACCTCCTGGAGACAGCACAAAGCAGAGGTCATTTTTGTGGCCTCCCCCCAACAAAGTCCAGGGCACTATTTGATCTTAGCCCAGATCATTAACCAAAAGTCCTTTTGTCCCTAGATCTGAAGCTGTGTCCCTTGTCCTGGGGCTCAAGTCATGACTTGATGGGGTCATGGACAGAAGTGGTCTCAGAGGAGCCACTAATCACAAGGAAATTGAGGCATAGCTCTGTACAGCCTTTGCTCCTACATGCCTGGACCAGCTCAGCTAGAATTGGAGCTTTTTCTCAGGTAACTTGCTAGAGAATGGGGAGATAGGGCAAAACAGTAAGTCCACTCAGAAGCCATGGACCTGTGCTCCCTATGCTGGCTCCCAGAAAGGTGCTGTCCTTGGGGGTAAGTGGGGCCCTGGAAAAGTTGAGTGTGAGAGAGGGGTGTTGGGCCATTAACTGGGTTGCCAGTGTAGTTTCCCAAGTGGGTTCTGGGAGCAATGACCTCTGAGACTGAGGAGTTTGATGGGGGATATATGCATGCAACTGTGGACCCAAACTGATGGGAAGGCTGGAGTCTGGTTCTAGGCACAATGAGCCCAATTTTAAAGGTGGGGACTTGAGCTGAGAAGCCAGCCCATCTGGAGCCAGGGAAGACCGGGCTGTACAGTCCCCCAGTCTCACTTTGCATGGTCTCCTCTGAACACTTGCCTGTTCACCAGGTCTCACTGCTCACTGTAAGTCATGTGGAAAGGTACCAAGTGGCCCTGGTGTTGGTTTAAATCTTGCCCTTGTTGGTTTAAATCTTGTACCCCACGTGATTGTTTAAAGTCACTACAGATGAGATAAGCACAGCAATAAAGTTTTAATGGAATAGCTTTGGCCCAGGGAGGGGCAGATGTCTCAGAATGTGTGTGAACCCAGGAAGGTGAGGGCATTCTCCGGGCCCTTAGGATCCTTTGCTCTGAGCACAAAGGGCTGGCCCAGGGATCCAGGCCTGGCCCACCTGGTCTCCAGCAGCAAGGCTTCCAGAGCAGAGAGGGTGCTTGGCTTCCTCCTCAGAACCCAGGGCACTGCTGCTCACACGGACCGACAGATGCAGATCAGTGTAGAAGGGCCCCGGCAGGGATGAGAGCCCCAGGCCGGAGGGGCCCAGAAATCCTTTTATCAGAGGAAACCCCCCTAATCCGGCTGGGCAGGGGGCGGGGCGTCCAGGATTCCGCGGGGGCTGTCATGGTCTCCTGGGCCCCAAAAGTGCAGAGGCGGTAGGACGGTTCTGTGTGCGCCCCTGACCCCCGGCGCAGTATGAGGCCAGAGCCAGGGTCTCTGGGCGGCCCTTAGCCACCTCTGCAGCGCTGCTGCTGGAACTGCCCTTGCGACCCGCTGCCTCTTCCCCACCGCCTCCGTCGCCCGCCCTCTCCAGCGTGGGTCAGCCCCCGCCCGGACTCAGGGAGGGCGTGGCCTCTGCGTTCCTCACCCCCCGCCAGGACAGTCCCGATCCCGCCCCCACGCCAACTGACCTTGGGCCAGACGCCCCCTCAGCTGGCGCTCCCGCGGCGAGCGGATCCCCTGCGGGCGGCCCGGGTCCAAGCAGCGGCTAGGCAAGGGACGCTTGCGCACGCGCACCAGAGCCCCGCACCTCTTGCGCTCGCTACCCGGGCCTGACGTAGCGACCGCGGGCCAATCCAGAGGACGCCCGGAGCGGGGTGGGGAGAGCAGAGGGTCCAAGACGGCGGGGCCGCGGCAGCACCACGGACAGCGCAGGGCGGGGCGTGACCGCTTCTGCACGCACGCGCACTCAGCTGGCGCGAAAGCCAGCACGGGGGGAAGGGGTGGAAGGGACGCGGGGCGGGAGGGGGCGGTGCACTGGGAATGGCTGGCAGTACTCGGCGAGCGGACGGGGACGCTGGGCGCGCCAGCTGTCTCCCAACCCGTTACCGCCCGCGGCTTAGGGAGGCTGAGCCGGGAGCAGCAGCGGGGCCAGGTCCATGGTGAGAGCGAGGCGGCGGCCCTGCCAGCGCACGTGCGAGGGCAGAGAGGGCGCGCCGGGCCCGTACTCGAAGCAGGTGCTCAGCTCGAAGGCCAGGGCTGAGCGCACCAGGCCCACGCCGCCCGCGCGCTCCGGCGCCGGGTGGTACAGGCGCCCGTTGGCGGCCAGGGGCAGCAGTCGTGCCGGCTCGAAGGGCACGGCTAGGGCCTCGCCGCCCCCGCAGTAGGAGAGGCGCGGGGGCCCGCTGCCCGCGGCCAGCAGGTGCGTGAAGACCACCGGCCGGTCCTCACAGCGCAGGAAGTTGCGCTCTCTGCCACAGGGGGAAAGGAAGGGGAAGGAGGTCTCGTAGCGTCCGGTGCGGTTGGGTCTCAGGCGGGAGAAGAAGGTGACCAGGAACTGCAGGTCTGGGGAGGTGAAGGGAATGGCTGCTCACCATGCAAGGTGCCCAAGGCCTCCAGGTCCTGGGCTGCACCAGGGGCTGGGGCTGGCGCCGGCTGGTCACCCAGTCTCACTGAGTCCAGGCAGGACAGCCACTTCTTTGGTGCGGGCGGGCTGCCGGCAGGGTGGGGAGTGGAGCCCACCCAGGGAGAAGGAAGGGGCGAGAGAGCGTGGCGCCAGCAGTACCTTTGAAGCAGGTGATGAAATTCTTCATTTTGGAATCATCCAGGAAAAGCTGCAGACAGAAATGCCCTGGCCGTGAGTCCCAGCGCGCAAGTCGAGGCAGACAAGCACCGGCGGTCCTGAGCTCCGGCCCGTGTCAGCTTTCCTTCTTGTCTGTGCACTTCGTGTTTAGACAGGCGCGTGGACGATAAACCCGAGGCCTTGCCGACTTCCCCATTTCTACCTGTTGTACCTCGGGCCGTGCTCCCTAGCACATAGGTTCCCCGGGCTGGTAAGCCTTTCCTGCACCTTTTCTCTCCTTTCAAATTTCTAATCAGTTATGCCACCTCCTCCGTGGCGCCTGCCTGGCCTGCCTCCTTCCGGACATGCCGATACCTTCGACAGGGCTCCCAAAGCAGGGGGTACAGCCCGAGTGTCTCCGGGGCAGTAGCAAGAGTTCAGCGCCGGAGCTGGGCGCCAGCAGAATAGGATCCAGAGCTGATAGCGCAGCGGAGACACGGCCTGTGTAAGAGGCTGGCCGCCGACGGAACTGTGCCAGTTGCCTCCGTCTCTCCGCGCGACACCGCGGCTCTTCCCAGTTGGATCTGACTACCTTTCAGGCCCCACCCCTCCCTCCGCGAGCGCCCCGCACAGCCCCTCCCCGGAGCTCCCTTCGCAGGGGCCCCACCCCTGGCCCACCTGGCCCTGGTGGTCCACGTAGTAGAAGTACTCGCGTGTCCGAGGTTCAGGGCTCTGGCCTTGCGTGTAGGAGACGCCACCGTCCCCGCCGCAGGCGCAGGCTCCCCGCGACCGCGCCAGGGCCAGGGCCTGGGCCCGCAGCGCCCGGCACGGCGGCCACATTCGCGCCCCAGCCGGAAGCAGCCGGCAGCGCTCGTGGGGGGCGGTGTTGCGTGAACGCGCGCGCCTCAGCGGCCGCGACCTCACTCACTCGTGGCCTTTGGCCGCCCGCGCCTAAGTCCGAGCACCGCAGCACCGCGTCTCACCCCGCCCTCAGAACGCGAACGCCGCCTGCAGGCCTGGGGGACCAACTGCCCAGAGGTGCCCCCAGTCTCCCCCGCCCCGTCAGCTCGCGCCCCGCCCAAGAACTGAGGCGAGGACCAGGCCCGAAGTGTCCACGTGTACTTTATTCACACCAAGTCGCCTCTCAAGTCCGCGCGTTAAGGACTGCAGAGGCTGCTCCCCCAGGGGACACCGGGCCTCGGCAGGGCTGGGCTTTTTTGTTTTTAATAATAAATAAAAACTCAACTCTAAAAATATATATATATAAAAACTGGGGAGAAATTAAGTTTTACAACAATTGGAACTCAAACTTCCAAAATGGAAAATGTACAAACTGAGACTCTAGATCCCGCCCCTTAGCAGCCCTGGCCTTGAGTGAGGGCAGTGCCTCCCGGGCTCCTTCCCTCATGACGGCTGCAGGTCCGGGATCGGATGGGGTAGGGCTTGGTTTTTGGTCAGAAGCCAAGAAAGGTTGGAGAAAAAAAGGAATGATACCAACTTGCTCTGCACAGAGGATGGCTCAGAGATAAATAGCATTTGGGTTAAAACTATGTCATTAGCAAATTTAGTTCTTATATCTTTTGCTCTATTTATATCTCTATACACAGGTGGTCTGGGGTGCAGGATAGATTCTGGATTTACAGTTACACGAAGAAAAAATACTCTCACCCCTCCCCCACCCTGCTGCAAGAATGCCCAGCTAGGCCCCCCACCCCAGAGGACTTTGGTTTGGGGGTCCCTTCCCACCCACAGAGAGCCTGCTGGGCTCTGGGCCAGCTGGGCCCTGTTCTGATGGGGGACAATTCAGTGCCCCCATCCCCCAAACTCCTGTGCAGTCACCAGCAGGGGGAGAGGAGGAAGGGGATAGGTCAGGAAGCTCCCCCAGGAGGGGGCAGGGGCAGGAGACAGCTGCAGGCCAGGAGACCAAGGGGACAAGGGAGGGAAGGAGAGAGTTGGGGCAGCTGGGCAGGGCCCAGGCCAGTGCCAGGCTGAGCGCAGGCGGCCCAGGGAGGCAGCCAGCCCCAAGGGAGGGTGGCGTGTGCTCTGAGGCTGGGCTGGGAGGGGCAGTGTCGCTCGGCTCCAAGAAACAGAAGGCACTTTCTCGGGGCTGGCCTGTGGCCAGCAGTGGGCGAGGTGGTGCCCGTGGGAACTGGCCATGAGGTGGGGGCTGGGGGCACCCTTCCCACAGCTCCTCTGCCCTGGTTGCACCCTCAGACCAAGAAGAAGATGTGGGGAGCGCCTGGGGCCAAGGGCCTGGGTTGGGGAGAGTAGGGAGGTTCCAAGGCTGGGGCCAGGGATTCTGGCCCTTTTGCTTAGAGAGGCAAGTACAGGATTCTCTTGGGGTGGGGGGCGGTAGCCTGGGTGGGCATAGGGCGAAGACTGGCATGCTATCTCCCAGCTGGGACATTACCCCCCACCCTCGTGCTCCCCACCTGCCCAGGTGCACTGAGCACCACTCTGCCCCAGCCCACTGGTCCTCGGTTGCCCACTTGCTACAGCACACCCTCCATGAAGCTGGTGTCCAGGTGCTGGATGAGAACTCGCAGGAAGGACATCTCCTTGCGGGTGTTCTCGAAGATGACGCGTGGGTCATCAGATTGGCAGCGCAGACAGTTGGGTGCCATCACCATGGCCAGGTTACTGATGTCCATCTTGGTGATGGCAACGTTGGCAGGCTGCACGAACACCTGCACGGAGCAGAGGGTGGGTGGGGCATGGGGCAAGGGGAGGGGAAGGGATGGGCCTGGGCAGGTCCCCCTGTGGCCTACCTGGAGGAAGCGGATGAGGTAGCACAGCACCATGCGGTTGATGCGGGGCAGCGCGTGCACCACGGCCACGGCAGCCTCTGGGCTGTCACAGTGCGCAATGCACTGCTCATAGAACTCATGCGGGATCAGGGGCTCCTCCAGTTCTCGGTACCAGAGCTTCAGCAGTGATGCTGGGGACATATCGCGGGGCTCAGTGGGCCTGCTCTGGGCAGGTACCTCTGAGCCAACTGGGTGGGGTCCAGTGGGAGACACATCAAGGGGCAGTAGAATTGGCTCACTGGTTGGCCCAGTCTGGAAGGAGTCAACCTGGCCAAGGCCTCTGTGATACTAAGGGCCTGCACTCCATCCTGGAGGCGTGGGGGATTATGCTGGAATGATGTGCAAAATGATTTCTCAAAAGGACGGTGCAGCTGCTGTGAGGAGAAGTTGGTGGGACAGCAGGCAGGGCTGAGAAGGCGCCAGGACAGAGAGCAGCAGACAGGGAGTGGCTGGGCTGCACAGGCTGAACTTGGGATACCCCTAGGACACTTGGGAAAACTGTCTAATGGGCAAGAGGGTGTCTGTGCTGGAGGTGGGCTGGGGAGCTGTTGTAGCACTTGGCCGGGGGGGGAGGGGGGGCCCAGAGGTGAAGAAGGAGGGTCCCGAGGTGTGGCCACAGTGCCAGTATGCACAGAGGGATGAGGCTGTGGGTGACCCCAGGAAGGGAGAGTGGATGGAGGCCTTGGCCTGAATGGCTGTCTACCTTCTGGGCTGTGGATGTGGACCAGGGGTCCCCTTGAGAACCCAACTGCCTGAGCTAGGCCTGCCCTGCTGCTGAGTGTGTTGAGGGCTCACCAGGGACGTGGGGGTCCTCCAGGCCCACAGGCACCTTCCACTGGTCCACCTGCAGCTTCAGGGCATTCACCTCATCAATGTCCCCAGGGACCCTGTGGAGCACAGGGCAGGTCTGACTGGAGCAGCTCAGCCTGCCCAGGGGCTTCATGCCTCCGCCTGGACACTTCTGACTGAGGAAAGGGGCAGAGCCTTAAGGCCTCTTGTGGTCCTGAGTAGCCTCTATCCCACCACGGTGGGTGGTGTAGCTCAGGGCCCCTTTGCCCTCTTCTGGGCTCCTGCCCCACACCTCTCCCCAGCCCACCCCAACCTTCCTGGACCCTCTGCTGACTCCCTATGCAGACGTCTCCCTCTGCCGGGCCACAAAGGCTCAAACCTGCATGTCTCAGCTTCTCCAGCTATCCTTTTGGGGCCTGGCCACCCCTAGTCTTGACAGGCGAGTCATGACAATAGGTGACTACACAGCCTTGTGCCACTCCCCACAGGGCAGGGGCTGTCTATTCACTGCTCGAGGTGAGGACAGTGAGCTGCCTGGCTGCAGGCTCTGCTCTGCCAGCCGCATATCCTCTCTGAGGCTCATGTCTTAGGCACCACATGTTTTGGGCATCTCTGGACCCCTGGGGGCCATTTCTGCAGAGCACCATCCCTGGCTGGCTGTGCTGCCATTCTCAGGGAAGACTCAGCTGACCTGCCTCCTGAGCACCACCTTCCTCTCCTGGCCCAAGGTGGCCCTTGGTGGCAACTTCTGCCCAGCAGCCATGCCCTTCTGTCTGCTCCTAGGTGGGGGGCACAGAAGCAGGCCTGAGGCTTAATAGCCCCTGCCGGCTGGAGACTCAGTGGACACACAGCTGTGGCTCCCACACCCAGGGCCCAGGGTTGCTGCACCACCTGAAGATGCCTTCTGTCTGGTCACCATTGAGCGCCAGCACTTCCTCAGAGAGCCGAGTCTGTACCCAGGGCAGCTGCCGGTCAGGGTAGCGCTCCTTCTGCATGCTCATGACCTCCTGCAGTGCGCTGCCGAACATGGATGGGCTGAACACAGCATTCTTGGCGTGCCGGATCTCTTCCACGTTGGGCTTCTTTAGCCCCTGTGAAGACAGCCCAGCTCTCCCGTCCCGGTCTGGCCTGGCCTCCCTGCTTCTAGCCTTCCTCTCTCTGCACCTATCCCAGGGCTGCCCCTGGCTCAGCCTCCTTTCCTTTCATCCCTATGCACTCCAGGTTTCTGCCAAACTAGAACGGCCCCAGCCCCAGTGCCCTGTCCCGAGTCACCAAGGGCCTTTCTGCTAGGCCATTTATAGCAGAACAAATGTCATGTGGGAAGGAAAGTGACTTCTGCATGGCCAGTCTGGGCTGCTGGGGACCATGGTGGAAGCCAGTTTGGCAGATCTGGGGGTGCTTCTGTATCAGAGGGGAGAGGGAGTGGGAGGGAGGCCAGGCTCTGGGATAGGCACAGGGGGCCAAGGGGACTTCCTGAGTGGGATGGGGTTGCAGGGAGAATGGGGTACAGACGTGCACCTGGCCTAGGACAAAAGAGCATGTTCAGGCCAGGGAGCAAGGTCCCATTGTGTGGCGTTACTGAAGCTTCGGCATCCTCTAGAGCAGGGGTCCTCAAACTTTTTAAACAGGGGGCCAGTTCACTGTCCCTCAGACTGTTGGAGGGCCGGGCTACAGTTTAAAAACACTATGAACAAATTCCTATGCACACTGCACATATCTTATTTTTAAGTAAAAAAACAAACGGGCAAAAACACCTGCATGTGGCCTGCGGGCCATAGTTTGAGGATGCCTGCTCTAGAGGAAGGAAGACAGCTGGTGGGGCTGGTGAGCAGGGACAGTTCAGGGCAGGGAGGATGAAGGCCTGTGGGATGCAGGGTAGAGGGGCTGACCATGTCTGGGGTCTGGACTGGCTTGCCTGGCCTGGAGGTAGAGACCCTAGCAGGGGGTCTGGGGGCTACTGGGCCTGGCAGATGGTCTCTGGGGTTTGCACTGCAGCCTAAGCATGGGCCTCCCCTGGGCCCAGGGACAGCCTGCCAAGGGGCAAGGGTCACCTAGAAAGGGGTGGCCTCTTGGCCTGAGTGGTGGCTGGGGATTCTCAGGGTGGGTGCAGCCAAGAAGCAGCTCCCTGGGGCTCCCCACAGCAACTCTATATGGCCAGCCATGGCTCCCCACAAACTGCCCACCCAAGGGCTCCTGCCGGCCCACCCCTGCCAGCTCCCCCAGAAGCACCAGTACCTTCTTGGCCCCCGTCAGGGCAGCCTTCTGCAGCTTGTGGTAACAGTACTTGGCATATGTGCTTATCGCCACCCCTAGAAAAGAATGGGTGCTGGTCGGCCTGGTGTGGACTTGTGGGTGCAGGGCCAAGAGGGGTGAGCAGAGGCAGCTCCTTCAAGGACCCTTGGGGTCTGGGCTGGCCAGACTCCGGCTACCCCCTGCCCAGCACCATGAGTCCTCATGTTCTCCCAGCCAATGTCCTTTAGAGCAGAGCCCCAAGGGGTACTTCTCCACTTCTATCAGCCCTCCCAGCCTTCCTGTGGCCACCCAGGAACAGGAGGGACAGGCTGGGGAGGAGGCTTGTTCCCTGTAAGGAGTCACAGGCAGAACAGGGCAGGACCTGGGTACCCCAGGGAGCTCTTCTCTGCTTCAGGCCTTCTCTGGCCTCTGAGTGGGAGCCCATGGAGAAGGGTCATTTCCACATGCTGAGCAAGCCTGGAGACACCCAGCAACTTGGGCCAATGCCAGGGGAGGAGGGGTCACTGAGCTAACTGGACCACAGCCCTCCTGAAGATTGAACAGGGAAGGAGGGCCCAGTCTTTCTCAAGGGAGGGGCTTTCTAAAGCTCAGCTCCAGGCATTACAGGTTCTAGCTGACAGTTCTGGAGGGATTTGGAGAGGCAGCATCACTTGAGTGGGCAGCTGTGGGCAAGGTGTGAGAGGAGAGGAGGGGAAGGAGATGACCCCCCACCAAGGGTGGGTCTGGAATGTACCTGGCACCTTCCTGGCCCAGGCTGGGAAGGGAAGCAGGAGAGGACACACCAAGAGAAACCAGCCCGGGCCAAGGGTGCCACAAATGGACAGGACTCTGTGCTTCTGGGCTTGGGATCTGCTCCTCCTCTGGTGCCCCACCTGCCCCGTTGGCTCTGCCAACTACCAGGGTGAGGGAGGCCTCTGGATCTGAGCTCTCCAATCAGAACACTTTTGTCTTCTTTGAAAGGAAGCAGTTTCTTGTGGACAGCTGAGGACATGGGGACCTTGGACCCCACTTCCAAAAACACATGAAAATCTTTTCATTTCTAATTATCATAAATAGTTATGTCATTATAACTATTAAGGGGATTCTATTTTAGAGTAACCAAAATGAAACAAAATTTTTTCATAGACGTTTAAGTCCTGGAAAACCTGTGTCAGGTCCCTGCGACCCACAGACCCTGGTTCCCGCCTCAGCCACCATAGCAGTGTGTGGAACTTTTGGAACCTTCTACCACAGGCCAATTGGGCCCTTCTGGGTAGGCTCTGAGGATCCCTTGTTCTCCAAGGATGGGTGGTGCTTAAACAAATAGGACCCAGTCCATACCTTCTGACCATTCAGAGCCTGAGCAGGTGAAGAAGGAGTGAGCTTTGCAGGAAGACAGCAGGTGACAGAAGCCCAGGCCCACAGCTTAGTGGCTGAGAAGCCCGATTACAGGCTCTGTGGGAAGACAGGCCCTGACCTCCTGTCCCAGGTGGCCCCTGGCGGGACAAACACCCAGGCCTTCAGCCTAAGTCTGCTTGGGATCAGGTCATCCCCATAGCATATTGTGGTCTGGGAGATCCTGGGTCTACCACCTCTCAGCTGGTGAAAGTGGGCATGATACAACCTCTCTGTGTCTCAGTTTCCTCCTTACAGGATGGGGAGACCTGTTTCGTGGGTGCCTGTGAAGGGCTGGGCCTAGAGCCTGGTATCAGTGAGTGCTTAGCAGATGGGGGTGGGGACCAGTGCTAAGGTGGAGGCTACACCAAGGTCTAGGAGACTGGGCTGACCTCTGCTTGTGCTGCCTTGGGTACAGGGCCAAGCACCAAGGGAGACCTGCTAAGTACCTGTGGTGGGTGGGCAGTGCCCTTGGTCAGCCCATGGAAACTCTCACCCTATGGGGTGCTCTGCTTAAAGTCCACTGCCCCAACTAGCTTTGTCTGGACCTCAGTCCTCACCTCCATTCACCTGGCTGCAGTCAAGCCCGGTATTACAGGTGGGACGGCTGCCCACAATGGAACCAACAGAAGTAACTCTCCTAGGGATGTGCTGCTGTGCCTGGGGCCCAGGCCTCAATGCCCAGGTCATAGGCCTCAAAAGCTGCAGGGTGTGACCAGGGCCTGCTGAGTCCAAGATGGGTCCTGCTTCTGAGCCATCTTGGGCTGCAGTGTCCTGCTTGGCTATCCCAGGTCCACAGGAGCTTGCTCCCTGCTCCACCTGGTTGCAACAAGACTCACAGCCAGCCAGTGTCTGTCTAGCTTCCAGGCTGCCAGTCACCGGCTCAGGTGGGAGCTTAGAGCTCCTACCATGCTGTCCCTGGCCTGCAGCTGGGTGAGGCTGGGGAGGCAGGCCCTGGCACAGACCTGCTAAGGGCAGCCTGGGAGGCCACAGGGTCAGGATAAGTCCCCGGCCCTGCAGATGCCAACCTGGCATTGCCCATGAGGGTCTCTCTCAACCCTGCACTCTCCTGCTGGCCACTGAGTTTGCCCTAATCAGGCCTCATCTACAGAAAGTCCCCTGGCCTTTTACTGGGGCCCTATGGGCCACATGTGGTCAGAGAGGGCTTCCTAGAGGGAGTGGAGCAGAGAGAAGGTAGCAGAGGTTCCAGACAGCTGAGCAAGCTTGAGGCAGGGCTTGGTGGGCCAGTCCCAGAGGCCCTGGTGCAGGGAGGAGCTGACCTGGCCTGCAGGGAGGGCACAGCCCTGGATTTCCTGAGTTTACAGTGCTTTCCTAGGGCTCTGACCAGGTAAGGTGGTCCTGAGCCAGGGCCCAGGGAAGGGCCAGGAGGTGGGCAGATGACTGCATGGGTAGGGAGGACTCTGGCGGGGGAGGCCTGGGAGCCCACCATCAAAGAGGGGAGGTTCCCTGCTGCCTTCTGAATGCCGGACCAGGCCCAATCACTCACCTGGTGGGGTGGGGCAACTCCAGTAGGCCCTGGCCAGCTAGTCTTCACAGCCCGCCACACCAAGAACCCACCAAGCAAGTTGGAAACTGCTCTGAGCACCACCAAGGTGTGGCAAGTCTCTCCAGCTCGCTCAGGAGGCCCCAGGCCTGAGGTTAGTGGCCCCAACCCCCAGCCCAGAAGCGGTTAGAGAAGAGAAGGCCAGGCGGCCATGGCTGGAGAGCAGAGCTGTGCAGATGCAGCACACAGGGGCTGCAGGGAGAGGCCCTACCATCCGGCTCTTCAACATAAGGCTTGGGTTTCTTTCTCAGTTTGGACTTCTTCTTAGTGTTTCTTTCCAGGAGCGCTTTTATGTGCTGTGTCACTGGGGAGCAAAGAGAACCGTGAGGACCATAGAACACAAATGCCCACGCAGTTCCCGTGCCTGGCCGGTGAGGAGGCCCCTGGGCCTGTGGGAATGACCCCATCCAACTGGGGACTGAGCATTTCTGGGGGTGTGTGCTATGTGTGCAAGGACCGGGAAGCTGGCCCTTGCCATGCTGGAGTGGGTGGAAGGTTCAGGGAAGCTCCTGCTTCCCTGGGTGGGACGGGGTGCAGTCAGCTCCTGGCTTTCTGGCTGATAGCAAGGCTGGGGCAGCCATGGGCATGGGCTCCTGAGCTGAAGAGGCACTCAGCTCGCCTGCCAGCCAGGAAACCAATGGAAATGAAGCGGCAAAGGTGGGTGGCCTCATGCCAGGCACTGCTAAGAGGAGGGAGAGAGTAGGGGGCTGGGATCCCCTCAGGCAAGCCTGGCCATGTCTCCCACTCTGCACAATGGAACTTGTTGCTGTCAACTCTGGTCACTTGGCTAAGGTCATGCCTGTCAGGTTTCTGCACTGTAGTGTCACTGTTTTCCCTTCCACCCTTCATTCTTTTCAGATGAAAAGGGTGGAATATCTACATGAATTATTTATAATTATTTGTTATAGATGTGTCTATTCCCATCTATCTAATCATTTATTTATATCTGTATAGATTACAGATATTTATTTTATACTTTGGGTTACAATCCAACATAACTTTATTTTGTTGCTCAAATTGCTCCCACTCTGGCCACTGGGAGCTCAGTCTGTTGACTCCAGTGTCCTCTAGGATGGCCCCAACCTCTCCTACCACCTCCAGCACTTTCTTACTTTTGATGCTACATCTTGTATAATCCCTGCACCAGGCCTGGAATCAGCCAATGATTCCAGATCTCTAGAAACCAAGATCTAGTGTTAGACGTGCTCATTGCTGCTGAGGTGTCATTTTCTAGGCTTTCTCGGCTGACACACTGAGGAAATGTGTGTGTGCTGACCTGTGTACACATGCAGCCACAAAGGCTTCCATATGCAGTCATCTGTATCCATATCGTGCTAAACATGGGTTCACACTGATGCCTCCAACTCTAATCCATCACCACATGGAGCATTCTAGCTTGCTCCGCTTGCTTATCCGTAACTGGCTTATCCTCTCATTCTCTTAACCAATGTCTTTTTTAGGAGGTCTGATTTTGATGAAGTCCAATTTATCAGTGTTTATACAAACATCTTTGCCTAACTCAAGAAAACAAAGATTTTCAATGTTTTGTTCTAAAAGATTTATACTTTTAGGTTTTATATTTTGGTTTATGATCAATTTGCAGTTAATTTTTGTGTATAGAGAAATGTATAGGTGGAAATTCATCTTTTTTTTTTTTTTTTTACATTTGGATATCCAGTTCTTCCAGCACCATTTGAGAAAACACTATCCTTTCTTCACTAAATTGCCTTTGCACTGCTGTGGAAAATGACCCATACATATGGTGTCTATTCCTAAATTCACCACTCTGCTCCACTCACACACTGTCTGCCTTTATGTTAATACCACACTCTCTTGATTACTTTGGCTTTACAGCAAGTAAGGTAGTGTAAGTCCTCCAATTTTGTTCTTTTTCAAAGGAGTTTTTTAGCTATTCTAGGTCCTTTGTATTTTCTTTTCTTTTCTTTTTTTTTGGAGACAGAGTCTCACTCTGTTGCCTGGGCTACAGTGCCGTGGTGTCAGCGTAGCTCACAGCAACCTCAAACTCCTGGGCTCAAGCAATCCTTCTGCCTCAGCCCCCAAGTAGCTGGGACTACAGGCATGAGCCACCATGCCCAGCTAATTTTTTCTATATATTTTAGTTGGCCAATTAATTTCTTTCTATTTTTTAGTAGAGATGGGGTCTTGCTCTTGCTCAGGCTGGTCTCGAACTCCTGAGCTCAAATGATCTGCCCACCTCGGTTTCCCAGGGTGCTAGGATTACAGGCGTGAGCCACCGCACCCGGCCGGTCCTCTGTATTTTCTATGAATTTTAGAATCAGCCTGTCAATTTCCAAAATTAAAAAAAAAAACTTAAAATTTTTATTAAGATTTAATCTATAGATCAACTTGGGAAGAACTGATATCTTAACAATATTGAGTCTCTCCCTTGCCCCCCCTGCTAAAAATTATTTTGTTAGGGAAGCAGAGGAAGATGTGCTAGAAGATAACGAGTCATCTTTCATCACGACCCCTCTTCTGATTCATAAACACAGTAACCTCTTCATTTATTTAGGCCTAAAGATCAGCACCAACACCATGTACTTTTTGCTACAGAGGTCTTACACATCTTTTGTCTAAGTATATTTTTAAATGCTATTTCAAATGGTATTTTTAAAATATCAATTTCTAATAGCTTGTTGCTAGTATATAGAAATGTGATTAATTTTTATATATTAGATAAATAGCCTGAAACCTTGCTGAACTCACTTATTAGTTCTAATAGTATTTTTGTAGATTCTGTAGATTATTCTACATAGAGGGTCATGTTATCTGTGAATAAAGACAAGTGTACACTTCCTTTCCAATGTGGATACCTTTTCTTTCTTTCTCATGGCTTAATGAACTGGCTAAGTCCTCCGGATGGTGTTGAGTATATGTGGTGAGACTGGAGGTCCCTACCTTACTGCTGATATTGGGGGAAAACAGTCTTTGACTGTTAAGTATGATGCTGGCTATATATTGTTAACTGTGGTAAAATATAAACCTAAACTAGCCATTTAACCATTTTTAAAGTACACTTCAGTGGCATTAACTACATTCATAATGTTGTACAACTATCATTACTATCCGCCTCTTAACCCCTTTCATCTTCTCAAACAGAACTCTGTACCCATGAAGCAATAATTCCCTGTTCCCGCCCCGCAAGCCTACCCTCTGGTCTGTGAATTTGCCTATTCTAAATATTTCATGTAAGTAGAATCATACAACGTCTGTCCTTTTATGTATGGCTTCTTTCACTTAGCAAAACGTTTTCAAGGTTCATCCATGTTGTAGCCTGTAAGAATTTCATTCTTTTAACGGCTGAATAATATTTCATTGTATGGATAGACCACATTTGTTTATCCATTCATCTGTGATGGACACTTGGGCTATTTCCACCTTTTTGCTATTGTGAATAGTGCTGCTATGGACACTGGTCTACAAGTATCTGTTTGAGTACCTGCTTTCAATTCTTTTTGGGTACTACAGGTATTTTCTTTCTTTCTTTCTTTTTTTTTTTTTGAGACAGAGTCTTGCTTTGTTGCCCAGGCTAGAGTGAGTGCTGTGGCGTTAGCCTAGCTCACAGCAACCTCAAACTCCTGGGCTCAAGCAATCCTTCTGCCTCAGCCTCCCGAGTAGCTGGGACTACAGGCATGCGCCACCATGCCCGGCTAATTTTTTCTATATATTTTTAGTTGACCAATTAATTTCTTTTCTATTTTTAGTAGAGACGGGGTCTTGCTCTTGCTCAGGCGGGTTTCGAACTCCTGACCTTGAGCAATCCGCCCGCCTTAGCCTCCCAGAGTGCTAGGATTACAGGCTCGAGCCACCATGCCCAGTTTACAGGTATTTTCTATATCACTTTTACCAAGGTGAAGAGGTTCCCTTCTATTTTATTTATTTATTTGAGACAGAGACTTTGCTCTCTTGCCTGGGCTAGAGTGCTGTGGCATCAGCCTAGCTCACAGCAAACTCAAACTCAGGCAATCCTTTTGACTCAGCCTCCTGAGTAGCTGGGACTACAGGTGCTCACCACCACACCTGGCTAATTTTTCTATTTTTAGTAGAGACGGAGTCTCGTTCTTGCTTAGGCTGGTCTTGAACTCCTGAGCTCAATTTGATCCTCCTGCCTCAGTCTTCCAGAGTGCTAGGATTACAGGCGTGAGCCACTGCACCTGGCTGGTTCCCTTCTATTCCTAGTTTGCTTTTATCAAGAATGGAATATTAGCCAGGCATGGTGGCATACATGCCTATAGTCTACTACTCTGGAGGCTGGGATGAGACACTCACTTGATCCCAGGAGTTTGAGTCTAACCTGGGCAACATAATGAGACCCTGTATCTTAACAACAAAAACAAAAACAAAAACAAAAGAATGGACTGTTTAATTTTGTCAGATGCTTTTTCTACATGTATTGAGATGATTTGTTTTTTACTTTGTTGATATGGTGATTTATATTGATTGATTTTTTTTTTTTTTTTTTTTTGAGACAGAGTCTCGCTTTGTTGCCCAGGCTAGAGTGAGTGCTGTGGCGTCAGCCTAGCTCACAGCAACCTCAAACTCCTGGGCTCAAGCAATCCTTCTGCCTCAGCCTCCCGAGTAGCTGGGACTACAGGCATGCGCCACCATGCCCGGCTAATTTTTTCTATATGTATTAGTTGGCCAATTAATTTCTATTTATAGTAGAGACGGGGTCTCGCTCTTGTTCAGGCTGGTTTCGAACTCCTGACCTTGAGCAATCTGCCCGCCAAGGCCTCCAGAATGCTATGATTACAGGCGTGAGCCACCTCGCCCGGCCATCATTCTTTGAATAAACTCTACTTAGTCAAGATGCATTATCCCTTTTATATATTTCTGGGTTCAACATGCTAAAATATTGTTAGGAATTTTTGTGTCTATGTTCATGAGGGATACTTTCTTTTTTCTAATAACTTTTTCTAATTTTAGTATAGAATGAATTAGGAAATATTCTACTTCAATTTTCTGAAAGATTATGTAAAATTGCTATACAAACAATTAAATGTTTGGTAGAATTCACCAGTGAAGCCATTTGGGCCTGGAATTTTCTTTGCAGGAAGGTTTTTAAGTACAAATTCAATTTCTTTAATGGACATATGACTTTTTTACATTATTTCAGATAATTTCTTATTAAATGATGCTTGGTAGTTTATATCTTTCAAGGAATTTTTCCATTTCCTCTAAATTTACAAATTTACTGGAATTAAGTTCATAATATGTCCTTATTATCCTTTTAACATTTGTAGAATCTGTAGTGATATAAGTTCTCATTCCTTTTGTTTGTTT